AAAACAATTTGTGAAGGGGAATTGTACCAATTTAAAAAATTTTATAGATAATTAAATGGTTAGGATGCATTCAGAGTGGTTTGATTTTAACAGCTCTATTTTAGAGAAACATAAAGAGCCAGAATTGTTCAGAGTGGTGATGATAGGAACCAGACAGCTGGAGAATTTAATGCCACTAAAACCTACATCACAGATAGTGATTGCATGAAATCGTAATGAATATGCTGCCTGATTGGTTTATGATAGTTTTAAGATAAGTTTTTTGTCCAACAGACACTAAATCTGTTCATGGTGGAGGGGTACATGAAGATTTTTAGATTTACCCCTATTTTGCAACTATAAACATTACACATAAAAACTCAGAAGACACATGTAGGTTGACTGGTTAGTTTGGATAGTAAATAAAATGGCTATATTTGCCTTGTAGACATCTTAGGCCCCAGTTCCTATCACCACCACATTGTCTGTAAGTTTCTCTACAATGCACCATTTCACATCAAACCACTGTAAATGACTCTCAACTATTCACCACCAAACCTGTTTATGTAATTTCATACTTTCAATATGCTCAAAAAAATAAGGGTTCCTAAACGGTTCTCGGCTTAGACGTACAGTACTATGAAAACCCTTTAATCAGTAGAGAACCTTTACATTAAAAGGAGGCTTTAACTTGTAGAAAATTCCTTTTTAAAAATAGATCTTTTAAAAGCCATCCATTGACAGTGGTTCTTTGATAGCATCCTTCCAAGGACCTCGTTCTGGCACCTTTATTTTTAAGAGTCCTTCCAGACAATTTAATTGTTCTCTTGGCAACATACAACACTAAATCTTAACCTGCAAATCTTCAACACTACACTCTAACTATAGCAATGGTATTTTAAAATATTATTCTCTGTCCACATCTGGAATGAGCAAGAATGCACCACTTTCAACAAAGTGTGTCCATGTTTACATCTACGCTAACAAATACAGAACTGTTGCTTTGGTACTGCGACAATCAAAGCGCAAAAACCTCTGAAGAAGCTCCTCAGTGCGACTATATATGGAACGTAACTTAGAGCTGCTCTTTGCCAGCTCTCAGGTAAGTGATCTCTTTGTGACCGAGTTAATCCTGTGATTTTTTTTTCTTGCAGGCAAAAAAGCCGGACCCCTCTGGAGAGGCTGGGCTGAGGTCCTTTTACTCATTTCAAAGAGCCGTGAACTCAACAGAGGTCTTCCGTGATGGAATCAAAGTGGCAGCTCGGATGGGGGAAAAAAAAATCCAATTTTGGCTCTCAAGCAGCGAAAGGCTGGTGAAAAGAACAGCGAGGAAAAGTCCAAAAAAGACCGTTTTTTTGACAATTTTGTGAGTGTCCTTCATTGAGGGCGTAGGGAGTGGTGCACTTCAAAACCCTGGACCACGAATATGTATTCAGAGGGGAGAAGTAAAAGCCTGATGAAGAAAAAAAAATCTATATTTGCCCTTTTAATGCTTTCTTTTACTGGGGAATATGACAGCGGCCTCATAAACAGGGCCTTTCTAACAAGCTCATACGTCCAAAAACATTGAAATGACTCCAGTCCACACTTATCATTTAGAACACGACTACTCCTTAAGAGAGAGTTGACAGGGGGCCCCTTCTAGCCTTCTTTCCATCAAATACCCTGTGTTAACTTTAAAGGATTACCCTAAATCCTATCCAATGCGCTTTCCATTTCACTGCTTATTCCCCAATCTCAATCATACCGCCTGTCTCCTTGTTTCTTCATCACTTCCCCCATAAGAGGCTCAAAGGGGCCGACACTGAGAATCAGTGCATCTGACCTGAGCGTAATTACTCCAACAAAAGCTCAAGATGTTCACCCCAAGTGGCTTATCAATAAAGGACTGTTTTTTTGGCCAAAGGAGCAGTTATATTCTGTTGCTGTAATGAGAATCCAGGTCCCTGCTGTGAAGTTCCCCCCATCGTTTTTACATCATTTCTCTTTTTTCAACAGGGGAAAACCGTTCTGTGACTGCAAGAAGTGCCAGAAGTTAATTGAAAACATCACGAGGGAAAGTCAAGTTTGAGGCCCGAACCACCAAATTGGTTCATTATCCAAAAGAATAATAAAGGAGCATTATAACTGGTTAAGCGGCGGCTACATTTATCTTAAAGCGACAGACGTCGCTTTGTTAAGACACACAAACTTTCATGTAAAAGTTCTTGGCTGAGGAGTGAAAATAAAGTATTTGTTCGTTTGAGGACTTTACAGTGGTTTTGTTATTATTTTAATCACAGCTTTTGCAGTGCTAGCACAATTGGTCTTATTTCACTACCTTCGAAAGCACCATTACAATAATCACTGACAGATTTTGCTTATCTACAGTTTGGGAGTTAAGTAGTGTCATGCATTTATTTCTCAGGAGTCAGTGAGGCATGGATTAGAGGGAAAGATACCTTTGACACTCAGAGACCTGAAACACAAACACACATGCCTTTTGTAAACTGGTTATCACTCCACAGTAGACTGGTCCATTGATCATAGTTTGGAGAGGTGAGGGCGTTTGTTAACTTGCAGAGAGTCTTATGTGGAAACCTAACATATTACCTGTTGCTTTTCATAAGAGGCATTGAGCTTAAAACAACAAACTACCAAAATTGACACCATGAGATAAATAGAATTTCTCAATTAAGAGACACAGTTTTAAAATAGGCCTTTCTTTCCAACATTTTGAATATTGTGGCAAGTTAAATATATTGAAGGAAGGATAGTAAGATTATTATAAGATTGTTTTACCAATTTCCTAGATATTTTTACTTCTTTTAAGTTAAAGCAAATGAAATTGTCTCGTTGCACAGGCAAATTTTGTGGAAAAAACAGTTTCTGAAAGAAGTTATATTGTCAGCCAGTTTAGTGAGATCATTTCACCTGATTAGTTAAAATAAGTAATAATAATAAAATACACTTACAATAATAAATGAGAAATAAGAAATATTAGCAATATTGTCTACATTTTATCATTTAAAATTATTCTGCAGTCTGCATTTTTTTTCTTGTCCTTATCCAAGCTAAACAGTATGCAAACTATGTGTTACTATATATATATATAGTATTATATAGTATTAGTTTTCCCCTTTCATATCCAACAGAACATACTCTAAAGGGTGCTACGGATGGACCATGGACCACTAAGATTATCCAGCAGCTCCAAGCTCAGGCTGAAGGAAAAACTCTGTGATGAAGCACCGCAATGCTTTGCCTTGGACCCCGTTTCCATCTGTCATTCTCTGCCACTCTCAGCCCTGTCAGCCCCATATTAGAACTAGAGCAAAAATCCATCTTGGTATTCATCACTCTTGCTTAGCTGCTCGGTTCCAGTTGTTCCGGCCTATCGCCTGTTCAAGGCCCTCTCTATTTATTTCATACGTGGCATGCTGGGCCTAAACTGAGTGCTGAAAGAGAAAAAATCGGGGGTTGCGATTATGGCCCCCGCTGCTGGACAGGGCATATAGGCAGCTAGGCAGCGGTGGCCACATGGAGTGTGTGGACCAGGGGCCAGCGGATCTTTCCCACATGCTACCCCGCGGCTCGGCTCTGAAGAGGTGTCAGCGAGCCTTAGAGGAATGAAGTGCCTGGCCATTGTGCGGCCGGGGCCATTATGTGCTTAAGATTAGCATGACAAAAGTGCCACTCGACTTCTCCTCCATTCAGGGCGCTCGAGGCCTCTTGTCCCCTCTCTAATAAAACATTTTGCTGCAATCGCTCCGTTTTGAAGACCCACAGTGACGAGAAGGGGAAGAATGAGAGAGACGGGTGGGTTTAACAGGGTGAAGCAGAGAGAGAGAGAGAGAGGGAGAGAGAGGGCAGCTATCCCTTGAAACGATTTGCATGTGACAAAGTAAACAAATGTACCCACAAACCTCAAAACACTCCTCCAGTAAATACAGGTTACTGTATTTACTCACATCACTAAAACTTTGGCTACGCTGTGCGCCAACAATTAACAACCAATTAGTAGCCCACAATATGTTTTAGTATAAACTTTCAGCAGTTTATAAAGTTACTCAGTAAATCCTCATATTTAAAATGCACTGACCATGCGCTGGCCTGGTTTATAAATGCTTTAGCTTAGGAATTAAGGTTTCTTTACATTAAAATGTTTCTATATGCAGTATGTAATAAATGGATTCATATAGTGGGGTATAAGACAGTATAAGTTATCAATGATAGTTTTTGAAAGCAATTTGGGAGTGACCTATTCCTGCCAGATTTGGACAACATCTAACTAAATTACATCTATCCTTCAATGCTAGTTAACCCTTTAAATTTTAAGATCCTGTATGAGGCCCCAAATTTAAATTCCGCACTCTTATAACTGCATAAATTACACACTGATTTCATAGTAGTCACTGAATAACTGAATACTAAGTCTGCAGTTTAAGGGGTTAATAGTCTAGCTGCCATTAACCCTCAACACAGAAGTTAGAGTTTGGGAAATCACATGTGAACAGTCAAGCTAGCTTTCCAACTGACCAACACTGCTAAGTCCCTCGCCAGAAATGTGTAGCTCAGTAAGCCTTGGCCCCAAAAGTCTACTAAAGTGAACCACTCAGTTTTAAGAATGACTAAATATACAACTTGTAACAAGGTAATTAATCTTCTGAGTCGTGCAGTCGACGCTACTGTCTCCCTTTCAGATTAGCGGAGGCTAGCTTTGTTCGCAGCCACGGCGTGTAGACGGAGGCTGTTAAGCAAACACAGTGATTGAAAAGTAAACAAACCCCTGTCTGGCTCGGCCTGGTGAAACCCCAGGGAAAAGCCATTCGCTTTTGTGCTTACGTTCTAAAGATATCCGAAAGTCAGGCTTTAGGCCTTCTGCAAACACTTCTGTTTGCAAAGTCAAGGATATCGATGCTTCGAGCTCCTTAAAGTGTTCCTCAAAAGCAGCGCATGCGTTCAGAAGAACCGGAACCTACTAACGTTTCTCAACAGCAGACCATCTTTCTGAGATAGAAGAAACAAATTACACATACTCATTTAAGTCTTTGTACTTTCATTTTTTATGCCTTCTATAAAAAGTACATCACCGAGGCAGTCATACAGTGGATTTAGACATTTCTACACAGTCAATAATTCATCTTTGAGAACACAATAAAAAGATTCTCTGCAAATCTATTTACACTGTACAGCATTTTAGAAAAGAAAACCAATTACAACAAAAAAATATCTAATAACCTCCCTTTAAAGCTGGAATCGTCACCCTTTGTTTTCATAGACATTTTATGGTATAAAATATTGCCTTATTTCATGAAAATGCTTATATTCAGTACTTTCACAATTGAGTGCTTCAGAACTCAGTTCTAGCCTACTTTAAATTCATTCAAGCCATATTTTAAAGATGTTATTCATTCATTCACACAAGGTCAAAGGCATCTTTAGATAGAAAAATAGTTGTACATATCTAGTTTCATATTGGCAGTGCACAGCTTTCTGATTAAACCCTTGCACAGTTACATCTCTAAGTAACAAAATAAAAACTTGTCTTTCTCTTTTTTAAAGGCAACTTGGTTGTGTCCTGTTTGACAATGTGAGAAGAGCACTTGCAATATGGGCAATGTTGTTTTTCTGTTCTTTTTTAAGGCAGTAGTGTTAGAATGAGCTCGATCTAGCATTTTATTTTAAACCAACAGTTACTCACAGGTAAGAGTTCAGCTGTGAAGAATAAATATGGAAAAATGTGCTGGGGCTGAAGGGTCACTGAATGGTACACTTGCATAGAGAAGGTGCAATGTGACCAACCTCAGGACGTGAACAAAACTCAAGCAAAGTGTCATGCAAAGGTGGACGTGTTCTCTTTGGAGACAAACAACAGACGTAAAATCGGGTCCGGAGTCACAGAGCACCTCAAATGTTCACTGACTGGGCGTTTTAACTGACCAGTTGCTTTCACTGCCTCCGCTGTAGCTTGTGAGAAGTCTGACCAGCCATTTTCACTGACCAGTCACTTTCCCTGACTGCCTTACTGACACTGACTGGCCATTTTCATTCACCCATCTGACCAGTCCCTTTTACAGACCAGTTTGACCTGCTGTTTTCACTCACCAGACTCAGCAGTCACTTTCCCTGATTCCACTGTAGCTTGTGGGGTGTCTGACCAGTTACTTCCACTGACCAGTCCTTTTCAGTGATCACTCTGACCAGTCATTTTCACTGGCCCCACTGCAGTTCACAGGGAATCTGACCGTTCCCACAGAACAGTTCAAGCTTTAGCTTAAAAGCCGCACCAGCACCAAGACGGACTCCGCCAGCACCACAAGCATTACGGACGCCCACCAGGCCGAGGCGCCTGACCTGTCTCTTCCTACCCGCTCCCCCGGGTAGTAGTCGTCCTCGTCATCGTAGTCATCCGTAACCCCAGAACCCTCGTCGTCATCCTCGTCCACGGGCGGCTCGCCGAAGCACAGGTTCCTCATTTTGAGCTTGACGTACTCGCATATGGTCCGCTCGGTACCATCGCAGACGCACGTGTCCAGCAGCTGAGCCTTGGGCAGGCGCCGCATGTCCGCGATCACATCGCGGCACGCGCTCGTGCACACGGTGCCACTGAAGAGCTTGCTGCAGTGGAGCAGGTAGTTGGCCATGGCGGAGCGGCAGTGGAGGTCGCGCTCGCACTGCCGCCGCGCCTCCGTGCAGCCGAGGCTGCTCGTGCGCGGCATGCACGGCTCGATGGCGCGCTTGGCCTCGCGGCACACGGGGTCCGAGGCGCAGCTGCACTCCTCGAGCGCGGGCCCGCCGCGCGTCAGGTTCAGCTGCACGAGCGACGCGATGCAGTGGCTCGGGCATGTCGTGCGGCGCCCGCTCAGCACGGGCTCACACGCGTGCATGTACTGGCCGTACGCGTAGTGGCACTCGGGCTCCGCCTGGCAGTTCAGGATCGCCTCCCAGCAGACGAGGCGACGCGCCGCGCACTCCACCACCGCCACCGCGCACGCGCCCAGGCACACGAGCACGCAGGCGGCGGCGACGGGGCCGCGCGCCATCGCGGCTCTCTCTCGAGGGGGCTCGCGCCGCTTCCTCTCACGCGGCCATCGCGGGGCTCCTCATACCATGGCGCCGGAAAAGAGAGGAGGAGGAGGGGAAGGTCGAGAAGAAATGTGGGGGGGTTACTCCGTCCTCGCTCGTGAAGAGAGCTCTCAAGCAAGTCCTGGAGCTTTTTTTGAGTAAAAAGTCGCTACAAAGCAGCGGTTTTCAGCCGTTACCAGCAAGCTAGGCTACCTCAGTCCGGAGCTCCACACCGCGGCCGTAACTTGAGGAAACTCCTCCTCAGGGAAGGAAAAGTGCGAAGTTGTCTTCTTCTCTCTCCGCTTCTCTTTTCCTCTCCTCTTTTTACTCCTCTTCTCCCCTTCTGTCCTCTCTTATCCACTCGTCTTGTCTCTCGTCGTCTGTTATTTTGTGCTCTGTCTCTCTCGTCTGTGTAGCGAACACGGAGCCTCCGAGTTCTCGCTTTCCTTAAGCAGTTTCGACCCGCGGAGTCTAAAAAAATGTCAAAATGGGTCAAAGTAGTTCACCCGAGTGACTTTATCACCCACCGTTTTGTAAACACGGGGACAAAAACACGGTAAAGTTTCTCGCCGTCATTCACTCACTGCAGCTCGGTCTCCTCCGCTCGCTCCGCTTTATCCATTCGAGTCGTGCGGAAGTTTGGGGGCCTCCTATTGGTCCGGCCGCTCAGCATCGTAAATCTAGGCGTCATGTGTGGGCGGGGCGATGGGGGAGGGGCTGAAAACGGCTCTCCGAAAAGTTTGTTGTCGTTGAGCGTAGAAGGAGCTACATGAGGGCAGAGACGTGTGGCGGTGCGGTCACAAACATGTATACAGTTTATAAATCATCGTGACCTCGTGAATATGTGTTTAGGTCTAAATCTGAGAGAAATCATCATATCAGTGGTAATTATGGCGGTGATTCAGCAAACTGAGGTACTGTTTTTAGTTAAAACTGGCTTTTTCAACTAGGCACAGTCACATTAACACTATTCACTGATAAACTGTTGGTATACTGTAACTCGTTTTCTTTAATGAGGAATTCTACTGATTTTTCAACATTTCTGCCTTCTGAGATGTAAACAAAGGCTTAATTCTAGAGAAACATACCAACACAGATTTCTTTACAGTAGTGGTGATAGGAACCAGGGCTCATCATGTCTACAAGGAAAATATGTCCATTTTATTGACTATCCAAAAACAACCAGAGAATCTACACATATCTTCTGAGTTTTTATATATAATGTTGATAATGATGTAATAGTGGTAAAGCTGAGATAAAAAGTTTTCTTTGGGGACTGTTTAGTACAAGACCTCTAAACCATGAAAGGATTTTAAAAATATATATATTTTAGGCCAAAACCTTATTTGAAAACTATTGTAACACAAAGCATCAGGCAGTGGATTCATAGCCATTTCATGTAATAGCTTTCTGCGTGGGAGATTTAGAAGCATTAAACACTTCAGAAGTCTGGTTCCTGTCACCAGCACTGTGAACAATTCTGACTCAGTAAATTTCTTTAGAATTGATGCTGCAGACTTAATGCATTTCTTTCAAGAGATCTTAGTAATGTCTGCGGCTTTTGCTTGGGAAGCAGTTCACATTCATGTCTTTCAGTTTTCAGATACAAAATCTCCCATTTCATACTCAGCAACTGGAAAATGCATTCTGGGCTGACATCATTTTGGCCTGATCTGTAAGTTAAGCAGGGAGGGGGGGAGGGGGATTACACGTTTGAAAATGATCCTTCTTGGCACAGTCCACCAGTCTGGATGACTATAATGGAAAAAAGGACAATCGGACGCAGCTCGTAAGACAGCTATCTCTGTATCTCGATATGAACTGTGGCCGTGCATTTAAAGGGAAAATGAAGGTAGGCCTACACTTGTGTAAAATGATATTGTGCAAGTTCACACTTGAACATGGAAGAAAAAAAAGAGGCTGTGCTGTGTCGGCTGTGGATGCTCAGGTTAGCGGATTCATTGGGTCCACTAGGCACAAAGGGGGTTTGTGTTTCAAACAGTGCTCTAGAGTCAGGAATGTACCTTTAGGCCAGTGTGCACCGAGCTTCCCACCCAAAACAATGCACTCAATGTCAGTTACGGACGGTCAGATCAGAGAGTGGCGGAGGCTTCTCCAGATCACGCCACTCCTTCATGATGGATGAAGGGAACACTATCCTCTGTAAGTCAGTCAAACGGTGAACCCTGAAGCTATGCTAATCGAAAATGAAGCCAGCTGCTGTCATTTTCTCACGCCGAGGCCAGATAGGTTAAAGCCAGCACCTGGGTTCCACCAAACTCCAGCTTGGCTCATTTTTGTGGTTTCTTCTGTGACTAGCTCAGGGTTACACCCCTTCAAACGGCTTCATTCCCAGTTTTCTAAGAATGTTTGGCATTAAACTCACTCATTTTAATTATATTAAATGCATCTCCTTAATGAGCGACCTGTTAACGACTTTACATGGACTTAAAGGAGGACGAAAACAAGAGAGTGAAAAAAAAACTTGAACCAACCAAACTATTTTCTTTGGCAGGCTGAATTTATACGCACCAGATGTACTTGACAGCGGAGCGCTGCATATCATTACTTTTTGATGGTGCCATTAAAAGTGTGTTCATGCTTCAATAATGCAATTAAGGGACAAACACAGTGAAGTCACTGCAAATTTAAGTTCTCCCTGCTGATGATGAGAAAAATCTCTGCTGGGAGGCATTGTTAGCTTGATTTGTTTATGATACTATGTTTTTACTGCAATGATGTTTGCTAATCATCCACTTCTCCAAAGTTTCTTGTGGTAAATTGCTAGGATTGGACAATTTGACACATCAGTTATTTGTTAAATTGACCTGTTCATCTACCATCCACAAATGTGTTCTTTCAAAGCAACTAATAAGGGATTGGGTAAGCTTTACAGAACATTGGCAAAAGTCCTATTCAAACTAATATCATAGTTTAGAGTCATATAGTTTAGGCATATAAATGATTACCTGATAAACTGGTCAACAAACAAACCATTGTTCAACTAATGCTATTGATTAAAAATGTTCATTTAATTTTATTTTATTTGTTCTAAGCACCAGTTCCTACTTGAATAGGTGGGTTTATCTTTAAAGTTCCACAAAATAGGCCTAGTAAAAAATTAAGTGTGCAGCTAAAAATCATGGTGTTCGCAGCCACATTTCCATGGTACGATAGCATATCAATGACATACCGTATCAAAAACAAACATCCACAAGTGCAAACACACAACTATTTTGTCCATGTTCTCCAAGAGAAAGTGAGATGCATGGCAGTGTGAGTAAAACACACATGGGTGTGCAAAATTATAGAGAAGGACGTGGTCGACAGCGTCAACTTTCGAGAGTTAATGGGGTGGCACTTATGTTCATTTTAACTTCTAGCTTATTTTAGCTCATCCTAGCGCATTTCAAGCTAGTAATAAGTGGTAACTTTAGATTTCACAGTAGCAAATCATTGTATATTCCAGTCTATTTTTTGCTCATATTATCATAACACATTATGGTTGTCAGCCACTAGTTTTAAACAAAACTGGGTTCTTATGTTTGATAGATTTCGGCTCTTAAACACTCAGTTGGTTGCACTCATAAGTGTGTATTGATCAAGTATTCTGCAATGGCTTTGAACATAGCACAGGAGGTCAGCATTTAGATCTGGAAGTTTCTATATTCTATGGGGTCATATTCTTGATTTTAGGCTTCTTGGTTGCAATTAATCACTGATCATGATGGTTGGTTATTGGTCAACAGAAAATTTGCATCCCTTGTGCTGGATTATTCTGTTGTAGCTACTTGTATACAATCGTCAGGTTAGAAACATCATCGACAATTTTGCCACCATGCTAACTTTAGCACTCTAAATGTAGGTATGTTCACAAAAAACAGAGGATTTTTGCTCATTCGATCTTACCCATTTACTTGTCCAATGTCACAATAGTAGCTACAGAAGAACATTTGTGGGCAGCTACATTTGTGGGCGGAGCCTGTATCATTCAGTTGGATCACGTCATTCACAGAAACCTGAATATACTGGAGCTTTATTAGCAAAGTACTTTCTTTGTATTTTTGAAAAAAAGGGCTAGTTTTCCGGACACACCTTAATCTCCGTGTCTTGGTGTACATTAGAAAGGCCCTGGGATTCCTCCATTGAGAAGCCTTTGTAGTCTTGCACCACGCTTTATCTGTAGCCGGAAACTCAGCCCTCGACGTACATTGTAGGTTGAGTGATCGTCTAAACAGATGCAAAGAGTGGATATGGTTGGAGGTGGACTGTTGATAACTGTGTTGTGTGTACGTCTGTGTGGGTGGAGGTGGTGTGTTTGGAAGAAAAGGAAATATCAAACTACAGGAAATGAGTCTACAGGAACAATCCATTTATATGGATATGGAACTTCCTCTATAGGACCTTAAGGAAGAGAGATAATGGGCAGTGATAAGTCAGTTGAACTGGATTTGGCAGTACATTTCCGCTAGTAAATGGTTTTTAACAACTCTGCAATTTTGTCGAGTTGTCTGAATGCTATTATGTAAGTGTATGCGATGGTGATGGGCAGTGTTTATCTCACTTGTTTAGTTATTTACCCGATTATTATGTTATGGCGCTGTCCCTTTCATGCTGTTTTGATATATAGACATTGTCTGTTCGCCACAAAGCCCGATTAGTTCAACCCGTAGCAAATCATGGCTATGCATAATTTTTGCTTTCACAACTACAAATATAATCACTGTGGCTTGCCACATTTTTAGGTTTTGGAAATAAATAAAGATTTATTCCCTGTTTCCACTCTTACGCAGTACTGGCCGGACACTAATAAGAAACAGATTTTTGCAGATATGCTGCAGGGTAGCCGTTGCCAGGATTCTACTCCCCCAGCACCTCAAAATGCAAACTATTTTCTATTAGTTATTCTCCCAGTTCTGCTTCAGACTAAGCTCACCTGCTTTAGTTATTCCATTTCTCTGGAAATTACACTTGGAGCCAGTTTTTCCCCTCTCCTGTCTCCTGCAGAAACATTAATAAAAGCCGGCATATTGAACTCATATACCCATGATTATAACCTCTTTGAAATTTTTGTAATTAGATTTGTGATACATTAGCGCAGAAAAAGCACTGGGTCAAACGTTCCTACAAGCTGACCTAGATCAGATCTGCAAACGGCCGCATTCTACAGGACATGCTATCTGGATTTCACGCTTTTTTTTCACACTGTGACAGCTGCTCTTGGTCTTACCAGAGCTTGGAACATTACAACAGCTGTTGTTAACACCATGATAGAGAGATAGACAGCTGCCTCATCAAGTCATTGTAACTGCTGAAAAACTGGCTGCCTATAAAAGTCAGCGTGTTAGCATGTCTAGAAGTCATTTATAACCAGTCATAAAAGCAGTCCAGTCTGATTATACATAATTATTTCTCATTTGGTGCTTATTGAAAGTTCTAAACTTTCTGTTAATACTATATTTGTGAACAGATATATTGTAATGAGTTGAGTTTGCTTACAAAGTTACAGTCTTGGTCAAATTACAAGTTTTGTAGATTTTTGTAGAAGTGAAAATAAGTTAACACATCCTCTACAGAGAAACACACTTCTTTTTTAAATTGTTCAATTACTGTTTATTTACTGAATTTAACATAACCA